TTTACTTGTGTTATCTTTGACTAATATTTAAATTTGTTTGATGATCTGAAACATTAAAGGGTGACAAACATGCAAAAAAAATAAGAAATCAGGAAGGGGGCCAACACTTTTTCACACCACTGTATATCATGATGTACCAGGCCCGGATTGGCTAATTCCCGGTGGGCCGGTCTGTTTCTTGGCCGCGAGAGCCGGTGTGTTGTCATGCTACTGGGTTGAAATATGCTGCCTGCACTCACAGCAGCCCTACTCTTTTTATTTATTATTTTCTCGCAGCCCATATTATTATTTTCACCAGAGCATAAAAATAACAAACTCTCAATTGATAATTAATCATTCTCTTTGCGAAAATCATTGTTATTAGTGAACGTAGGCATTTGAGGATGGCTTTAAGACCAAGCTGAATCCTCTGCTGGCTGCACCCAGGTTCACTGTCCGCGTTTTGATTTTACAAAATCAGTTTGGGCGAATGCAACTTATTGATCATGAGCCCAACATTTAGCAAGGCAGGAAAACATTCAGTCTACCTGAACGAAGACATATTTAATTGTAAGATAATGCTGTTAAATAGAGAGAGAAAAATACATGGAGAAAAAAAAAACCTAATGTAGGCTATTCTTAAACTTGGACCTCATTATATTGAAGTAAAATTGAAGCACCAGAAGCAACCTACACTCTTAAGTGTTCTTTCATTGAAAAGTATGCATTTTTATTCATTCACAGGCTATATGGTTGAAATAATATTTTAGTTCAAAACTTTAAGTGTCATTGTTTAAAAAAATGCTTTATTGACTGATGTTTCGTAGACCTTCAGTTGTTATGCTTTAAAATTCCATGCCATTTGTAATTTCACAGTATTTTCACCTCCTAAATTACTACCCTTGTAAAGTCACAATTCTATAATGGTAAAATTTAATATAATTGTAATAATTGTATGACATTAAAAAATTTTTTTAGAATAATTGTACATAAATGGGTTAAGCAAAACAAATGTGATTATTTCAGAGAACTTTTTAACTGCAGGCAGATATAGGCCTACATTATTGTACAGTACAAATATTTGGATCGCCCCTTATTCTGTCACTTATTTTCTACAAGAATAAACACTATTTTCTTAAAGAATAAAAGATAAAGAATCACAATTAGACCTTATTTTTCATTTATGAAGTTAATTGGCAGCCCTAATGATGATGTAATTATCTTTTGACTCCCCTGACAGTGGCACCTTGCTCAAAAAAACAAAAACCTCAGTTGTAGGAGATAAGCGAGCGAATAATAGATGAAATCTTTTTTTTTTAAAAGTGGGCCGGTCTAAGGCATGAAACTCCAGGGCTGAAAATGAGTCCCACTCCAGCCCTGTGATGTACTATAAGATTTTGGTCATATCACCTCTCCTATTCCCATTCACTTGGTGTTCTATGGCACACAGAACCAAGCAGAATGCATGGTAAATGAACAGGATCATTACAGAAATAAAATTCAAGGTGACTCGACTAATGCATTTTTGAGTAATAGAAACAAGTGCATTTATTTCAGTTCATTATGTTTACATAATTGCATAGTTATTATGTGCATTTATAGTGATGCTGTGCATTTATCGGAAGCTGACACTCTGATTTACTATTTGATTCATTATTTGGGCATGGGTGTTTGGTGCACTGTGAGAATACCACAGTATGTACCGTGGGTGGTTAGGAATATTTTTGCTGAGCAATACAGTGTCGCTGATGAGCTGATCAGAACCAGCTGTTGCTCATCAGCTCCTCTATTTAGAGTGGCTATATTTCTTCTGTCTTTGTCAGCTCATTGTGGTTCTTTTGTGCATTGTTTTTTGTGCAATTTTTCCTCAGCTGTACTGTTCCTGCAGGTCAAATGGGTGCCCTAAGAAGGATTGTATTATTGTGGCCCCCTCCCTCAAATATTATGGAAGTAAAAAAAAAATAGAACTCTAATAAAATATAAAAGTAAATAAATAAATAAATTGTATTATTTACAAATTACAAATCTAGACAGTTACCTATGGCTATGATTTTATTAATACAGTTGTCTGATTGATTTTATAGTCTGAAGCATTCAGAAATCATGCAAAAGAAAATTAAGCAGTTTTACTATCATAAAACCATGGTTAATTTTTGCAAGGGTTGTTATGTCCACATGTTTTTTGTTGAAGAAATTATAGAGGCTGTGTCATCTTATATATAGCAAAAAGGTGGCCAAAAATGAAAGATTAAGTGGATAGTTTAATTAAATGTGTGGTCAATATCCTATTAAACAAGGATTTGATTGTCCTGTAAGTATAGCAGCAGCAATTGCATGGACTTTGGCTCCATTTGCAGGCATTTGTAATAACATGTAATGTACATAAATTGTTTATTTTGTATTAGCCTATATTATGCATTTTAACAGTATTATTCGATGAAACCATATAATTATTAATTAACCAATCATTAATGCCTCATTGTTTTTATATAATGCATGTTAAGCCATTTGAAAGGCTATTGTTGGCTTAGGTCTGTTTTTATAACCACAAAAAATTATCATCTTAATATTTCTTTGTAAATTATTATTTGAAGTAACAAAACCATGGTTAATTTGCGGTTACCATGACTACAAGAACCATGATTTTTGATATAATTATATATATATAATTTCCGTAAGCGAACATGGAAACTCAGAGAGAATATTAGATTCGTTGGTGGTGGTGAAATTCGAACGACTTTGAAAACGTCAACAGCCAAAAAAGTTTCACAGGCTTATGAATGTGCCTGAAAGTGATGCATGATGCATGTCTTTTCACTGGCATAGTTGTCCATCAATTATGATAATTTGCATTCAGCCTCAAACATGAGGTGCGAGCGGCCGCGAGCACGGATGCGGGAATTTTTTTTTGAGCAACTGGGATGGTGCCCCCCCGGGAGTTGGTGCCCTACGCAAACTGTGTACTCCGCGTATAGGGAACGGCGGTACTGTGTTCCTGTGTTCTGTTTCCTGCTCCTGTTTGGATTACCTTGCCGTTTCTATTCTGGACTAATGTCACTGGACTTTCTGGATTATGTCCGGAACAGCCCATTGCAGTCCCTGCATTGCCAAAGATTTTCCAGCTAGCTGCACCCACAACATCTGACTTGCATCTGGTTTGTTGCCTTATTTAATTGAATTTGTCACTGAATTTAAAGATGAAAACTACTCACAAAGTTTTAAGTGTAAAGGCCTCCTCACACCAAGACGAATTTGATTTGGTTCAACATGAAATGTTGTGTTGATCAATGTGACTTGGCACTAAAACTTAAAACTCCTTACTTCAAACTCTTTTCCCTTTCTCTTTCACAGCTTCCTCTTTTTTCTCAGCACACATTAAAAGTACAACTGCCAAACTGTGATTGGTTGTGGTCAGCGCATGCTGATGACATTTTATTCTTCAATGTTAACTACAAGTCACTAGGTCAGTGGTTCTCAACCTTTTTTTCCACTAGGCCACACTATGGTCCAAGTGCAAGTCTCACGGGCTGCACACATATCATTTACATATTACATCACCAATACAAACCAACCAAATGTATAATATTATAGCCTAAATATTATTATATCTAATTGATTACATACATTGAAATAGATAAATAAATAATTCTACTCACCATTAATAAGCACCTGATGCTGTGAGGTGCTGACCGGAAAGGAGTAACAGCACAATGAAGTTGTGATTGTAATTTGTAGTCTGTAAGATGCGCGACATTGCAGAAAATGTGCATTCACAAATGTAGCCTATGTTGATCCAAATATGGAAAGCACTTTCAAATGTAATAATCTGAGGTTCTCTCCAGAGATTTTTAGCCACATTTCTGCAATTAAGGGTGATTGCTGCATAGTATGGGTGTTTCCTTTTGCCTGAACATCTTCAAGTGAGTGGCGGGGCAAACCGAAAGTCCAGCACTCTCCTACCTTCAATGCTGATACTGCAACTATTCTTGTTTGAATGTGTTCCTTCGCTGGCATTTTCCACATTTAGTTTTTCTCCCTTAATAACAAATTTGTCCATTCTGATGCTTAAATTTACCGAACTATTGCTGCTGAATTGAATTCTGCCAAAGTGCGCGCTTGTAAGTGTTCGTTAAATGTGTAACGTTAATTACGTGAGTACAGGTCTGCTCATGTCTGAAAAGAATATATGAAAAACAAAATTATTTTACATAAAAACATTATAGATTATATTTGTTTAGTACATTTTTAACTTAATGTAAAAACTAAAATGAATTGTGTGGATGCGCATGCAGCCCCGCGGGTTGAGAATCACTGCACTAGGTGTTATCATCATATAGTCTACATGCATGCCATACCCAAGTTTATTAGATCCATGTTGCAGTGTGATTTGCAATGATTTTATAGGATTGCTAAAATTGTGCAGTCTGTAGAAGGCTTTAGACCCAGAACTGCTGATCAGTCTGCACCATACCACTTCAAGCTGGTGGCAGTCAGGTGGTATAGCAGTCACGTCATGTGGTCCAAGTCATATTTCTCAGAACATTCCCAGCTTACAAGTTGTAATTATGAGTTATGCATGCAAGTAAAGACTTAACGTTGATCGTATTGCCATAGAAACACATAATTCAACTCCAAGTAGAACTTGACATGTTGTCATCTCAAAATTACGGTAATAACAACATGGCATGAACAAAGATTTTGTTTCACCTCAAGCGATTAAAAAATGTGATAAAAATACTTGCAAGTCTGACTCAAACATTTAATGTCATGATTGTTACCATTTATTTGCATCAGTTTTTATCCAGCTGGTCACTTTTATGCATTTAGCCAGCCAAGCGAGAGCAGGGTTCCTACAAGTATGGAAAAGTATGGAATTTGGTTTGAGTATTTTTCAGGTGTGGAAAAGTATAGAAAAAAAAGAAAACATATGAAAACAACACTGTTTTAATGACTTTAGAATAATTTGATTGCATTTAATAAAACATAACATGCACATAAAAGGTTTAAACCTGTGTACATACATTTTCTTTTTTTTTTTCTTTTTTAAGATTTAATTTATGCATTTTTGCCTTTATTATGATAGGACAGTACTCAGATAGGAAGAGTGGGAGAAAGGGGGAGGGGATTGAACTCTGCGTGGATCCCCAAAGAGCAACAGTGCTAAACTGTATGTCGGCAACAAATTTCCATTTCTTGTTAAGTAAATGCCCCCCATTTAGTTTTGATTAGGACAAACAATGCAGGTCAAGATTATGGCTTTCATGGAGATGGACATTGAGAGTGCTGACCCAGAAGAGTCAGAAAGACTTAACAGTAGCACTGCCATTCATTACTCATGATAACATGGGAACCTATCATTTCCAAGGACAGAAATGTATTATTTCTGTGAGTTTAAGCAGCAATGTTGAACCCTTTCCCATTTTTATGAAAGCCATTCACAGTATGCAAAAGCACAAAGTCTGTGATTTTGCTTAAGGGTATTCTGTTTATTGTTTACAAACAGAAGACTTTCAGATATTATATGTTGTTTTCTTCAAGTTCAGTTCTCAGAAAGCAAAGGCTTTTTTCCCACTGCATGAGTATTGCTAAGCTTAAAGAACTGTAGATGACTATTTCATCATCATTTGTTTCTTTGTGTTTTTTTCTGGTTTTAACAAAATTATGTAACATTTTGGAGCAAATATGCAAAATAGTAAACCAAAACTTGATGCTAATATAGCAAATATCTGCACAGCTACAGTAAATTTTCCAGGAGAACTGACATAAGCTGGAATAAATATGAGCCAGACAGCACAGAATATGAGCATACTGAATGTGATGAACTTGGCTTCATTGAAGTTATCAGGGAGCTTCCGAGCAAGAAAAGCTAAAACAAAACACATCATTGATAGCAGGCCAGTATAACCCAGAACAGCCCAGAAACCAAGAGCTGAACCTAAGTTACATTCAAGGATGATCTTTTCTCTATAATAGCTCAAATTCATATATGGAAAAGGGGGGGATATTGTTAACCAAAGCACACAGATAATCACTTGTATTAACGTTAAGGAAACAACACTGAGTCGTTGTTGTGCAGGCCCAAACCATTTCATGACATTACTTCCTGGAAGTGTAGCCTTGAAGGCCATTAACACAACTATTGTTTTCCCGAGAACACAGGAGATACAAAGGACAAAAGTGATACCAAATGCTGTGTGACGCAACATACAGGACCATTCAGTGGGCCGGCCAATAAAAGTAAGTGAACAGAGAAAACACAGTGAGAGCGAGAAAAGCAACAGGAAGCTCAGCTCTGAGTTGTTGGCTCTTACAATAGATGTTTCTTTATGAAGATAAAACAGAAAATATACCATTGCTGTTAATAACACTCCAATAAATGAAAAAATACAGAACACCATCCCCATGATTTCTGTATAAGACAGGAATTCAACCACTTTTAATACACATCTGTCTTTCCTTTCATTCGACCAGTACTCCAAATCACAAGGAAAGCAGTCACTAGAATCTGTGAAGAAATTATTCCAATATATAAAAAAGAAATATTAGCGAATGAAAGGTGCATTGTAAATTCACTTGAAAAAGAGGACAATATTACACTTAACATCATTTCATGAGAGTTATCACGCATGTACTATTTTACCTGTGCCATTACTGATTTCTCCCTCTGCACATGGAATACAGTCATAACAGCAGACAGGTCGACCTTTTTGCACAGCCTTCCTAGTGCCGGGGGGGCAGCTCTCACTGCACACGGACACAGGCAACTATATGAAATAAGTTGTCATATAAAACCTCACAATGATGATGATTTGAATTCGTAAAATGACTTATCTTAAATAATAACTTTTACCACTTTCACACATATTCAACTGACTGTTCTTCAGTCACTGTGCATTGTATGATTCAAGCAGTTATTTGATATTAATAATTAACTCTATAATATTAATGTACCTGTCCACTTTTCTCTGCCCATAGTATGTGTTCCTGATTGACTTGAAGATGTTCTGAAGGCAGTGAGCTGTCATAGAGGCCCACATGCTCAAATTGCAGACTTCCATCCTCAGCAGGCTGCCAGTTAACAAGGTCATATCGTGCTACTGGATCACCACTTTCATCAAAAAAGATTTCTTCACCTGTTTTAACAGTGAATCTCACATCCCTCATATACTTCAACACCTAAGAAGAAACATCAGGAACATTAGTCCTACATTAAGTAGTTTCAGTATAAAACTATGTGCTCCTCATTTACCATTTGTGGTATAAGCCATCCTATTTTGCTGCTGTTGCTGGAGGATCTGAAGTCTTTTAATATGTTATGTAGTGTATATGCGACGGCATAGACTGCAGTGTACACCTTATTTACTATCCGTAGCTCTGATATGTCAGTATATTCATTTTGCAGCTCTGCAAGTCTCTCTGAACCAGTACAGCCATCACTGCCAATGTTTCTGAACGAGCACTGAAAAACTATTTCCCAAAATTCTTTTAAAAGTAAATTTTTTGGTTCTTGATCAGGGTGCACATTCACTAGGAACTCTCGCAGACCCATAATATTGGCATTTGCTATAGCAAAACCCACAGCTCCAGAAAGGAAACTGTATTCCTTTGTTTCTGCAAGAGTTCGAGAAGTGATCCAGGATTCACTGCCAACCCACTGTATCCCTGTGATATTGTGTTGCAAAATTACTTTCAGGAGGGGGAGAAAATCTCCTAATGCAATAAAAGCAAGCACAACCCTGGCAGTGCCCTTTTTGATCACCTCCAGTGTCTTCAGAAACTGTTCTTGTGGATCATTGTTTAATATGGCCTCTGAGTATTCAATACAAACCCCCTCTTCTTTTGCAGCCTCCTCAAATACTGCAACTCCATTATTACCATAGTCATTGCGACTCCTGACTGTCCCAACCCAGGTCCAGCCAAAGTGCTTGACAAGCTGAGCCAGTGCTCTGCTTTGGTAATAATCACTGGGTATTGTTCTGAAGAAGGATGGATACCTTTTTCTGTCACTCAAGCATGCACATGTGGCAAAATGACTGATCTGTAATATAAAGAAGCAGTGTATAATGTGTTAACCACATAGTTCATCAAAAATACTTTTCAGTTCTTATACCAAGTTCTTGTACCACTATGTAAGTATGATAATCTACACAGTTCAATACATTGCTTTCTATATTTACAACAGTTTCTTTCAATGTTCAACATTTTATCTGAAGCCTATATGTTCTGTATAAGTTCCAAACGTTCATCATACTCTGATTACACTAACCAGCAGCAGATAAGTAAGTTCTTACAACAGGTAAGCTGAATGGACCAACTACAGAGGCCAAGCCAATGGTGGATGAGGATGCTGAATCTCCAACAATGGCATGAACAGCTGGTGGTCTAGGGCAGGATGTATCACTCAAAGTGTCTTCATAACCGTTCATTAAAGCCATGCCTGAGATGATTGTTTGAGTGAAAGAGCGACATGAGTCATATATCTTATAGCCCAAAGAAATACCAGGCAACAACTGTGTGCTGTTATTAATCTCCTCAAGGGCAAAAATCAGCGTCTGAGCAAATTTAAACTCGCGCAAGTTTAAGCTGTGGTGAATAAAAGCATCAACTGTATTACATTCTGCAAAGAATCATCAGAGTTATATTTAACAACCTTTTTTGCTGTTTTTTCATCAGTATCATCATACTGACCTGGCGCATGTTGTTGGATCTGGTTTGGAAGTATAATTATGCATTTTTAGTAGAGCATTTCTGTGGATTGAGAAAATCGCCCCAATGTTGATGTCTCTTTCTGCAGAAAGTGAAGGTAAAGCAGGCTGACCAAGCAGGCTGCAGACTTGTGCTGAAGCTGGCACTAGGATGCCATGTACAATGAGCAGCAGTACCTGCACTGACACAGTCCTCTTTGCCATGCCAGTATGTATGTGGGACAAGATCCTCTGAGGCAAAACAGTGCTGCCTTTTATTATGTCTGCCTTTTGTCATATCTTCAAATGTCCTTTGGGGCATATTAAATCCATAACGAACTTTATTATTTTTCTCCTTCTTTTTATTTAAATTTTTTTGTCTTTTACTCTAAAGTGTCTGGAGAAGAGAAAATGTAAATCGCAGAGACTACACATCTGGTAGCATTTTTCCAAATCTCAACCTCTACTCACACAAATCTTATTGACTAGTAACTATTGTAGTCAATACAATTACTTAACATTCTATAATATTATTCATAACATTATTTATTTATTTATACTGGTTAATATATATATATATATATATATATATATATATAAATATATGTGTGTGTGTGTGTGTGTGTGTGTGTGTGTAGCATCTGCTTAAAATAATGGATGATCATTGGGGTTTTATGTCTTAGAGACCCCTTTTAGCCTTTTGACATTTGTATATAAATTACAGACATGGCCCCACATTCTACATTTATATGGGTGCTAAATCGCCAACGGTTCCCCCTCCCCACTATCAATGAGATGCTAAACAGTTTCACCACTCTCGTCTCCCCATCAACTTCAAACACATTCCAAAGAGACGTAAATGACCCCCGGTAAGCCAGGCACCAACGACCTGGCTGACCAGCAAACTACACCATGCTCACATAACACACACATAAAGACTTTTTCTTTATTTAGACTATAATTAATCAGTTACAAATGTATCTGGTATATGCATGTGTTGTATGTTTCCCTATTATATTAGCCTAGTTACGACTCGTTATTTGTATAAGTTAAGCTCTAAACGCTCATTTTCAGGTGTATGAATGTATCTCTGGTTTAATATCTTCTAGATGTTTCTTTCTTGGTATCAAAATTATCTGATCTTTATTTCTCAAACAATGATGTACACTATGTGATTGTGAAATGCATCATACTATTTGTACTATATTTTGGGTAAAACTGCACCAATCCTCCAGACCGGCCATAAACATGCAAATGGACCATAAAGGGAGACAAAGAAAACTTCTCCCGCTCAGAAATTCACGTCTGGTATTTGCTATTCCACACAAAAGGTGGATGTGGATAGGAACTATCAAAAGTCAATAACTCAGACTAATCTTGGCTCAGAAACCTTTCTTCTTGAGACGGACACTATCCGATACTCCTCAAAACTCTCCTCTTGAGTTTGTTTTTCCGGCTCAAAATTCGGATTATGGGGAATGAAGTCCGGGGAAAAGAGGCAAGAGTCTGTAATGGAGTGCCCTCTAGCGAAGCTCACGGGAAATCCAGCTAGAGATCATGACAATGACGGTATAACATTTTCATGTTGCAATTCATTGCTAATGCCTTTATCACGGTATACAATATTATCACGATATTGAAAATTAGTTGCAAAAACGTGTTGTTATAAAGTATGTAAAGCATTTGCATTAACAATGAGCAATAGCTACATTGGCTACACTAGTTATTCATCTTTGTTAAAAAATACAACTGTTAGTTCATGTTTGCTCAAGTTCATTAAATAACACAGTTGCAACTTTTGATTTTAAAAACATGCTATTAAATACTGAAATTACCTAAGATTAATGAATGTTTAGAATTATTTTTCATTGACAATTTATGCTAACTAATGAATTAACTAATGCTATCTAATGGAGCCTTAATGTACAGTGTGACCGCACAATAAAGAATAAAAAATTATTCAAACAATATCTACGGCATTTTGTAATCCAGATTAAAATGTAAAATTTTTGAAAATAAATAGCCTATTAAGTCTTAATATTTAAATATTTGGCACTGTGATGAACACAGAATGGCTATTTAAAACATTTATATAATAATAAATAATTATTGTGCTGGGTTATTATTCAATAGTATATTTAAAACTAGGGCTGTAAAGTGATTACAACTTGGTGATTTGGTGATTAATTAATCACAAATTAATTGTACATCAAATCAAATAGACATTACAAAAAGTAGCTTTAGAAAGACAGGAGGGAGAGAAAATTATGACAATTTTCATTTTTGTGTAATCCCTTTTTTTTTTTTTTATTGAGATGCAAATATGAAATTATTATTATTATTATTATGTACATGTATTTATTTTTTTTGTTAAATGATACACTAAATAAGAAAACACTAAATAACCAATAAGTCTTGGTTACGTATGTAACCCTCGCATGCCTGTCAACCCTCCGGGATTCTCCCTTATTTTACCATTCTATCCCACTATCTATCCCATTTAAATATTTTCCCGTATTTTTAATCTTTCTATAAAAGAATCCCACTGGGCATATTTTATATGTTTGCTACATTCGCCTTCTGGTAAAACTCCCGTAATTTGTATGGCCCAAACCTCATTATATGAATAATCATGTCAACAAATTCTGAGGTTGCCCAGTAGCCAGATCTTGTATGACATTGAATATCCTTCTCACACAATAGACACATACAAATTTCAACCCATTTGTCCCCTCACCTTGGCAATCTACAACAGTGATGAGTACCACAGGAAGGAAAGGATCACTGGTAGAAATGGGACGGGAGGAGAATGCTCAAGTGGTGCTCCGGTGAAAAAAAAAACAAATATACAAATTGAGATATAGCTTATATTGTCGAATAGAATTTGCATGCTAAGCCACTCCCCATACATACAGGTATATAAGATGGTGACATGCTCAGAATTGTGCCGAGGAGCCGAAATGCATCCTGGCCATTCAGCGGTAGTTTAAGGTTGTGGCAAGAGGTTCTTAACGTCTCTATTCCCTCCTTTAGGAAAAGACCCATTCCCTTTCAGTTAGACACATTTAACCTTATGTCGGCAGCTTTACACTGGGGAAAAAGTAAACACATCCGGCCCAAAAAAGGGTAACATGAGGAGAGGAGGTGACATAGGGTAGTTCCTAAAAAGGGATAGAATGACTATAAATGTAGGGATGGACAGAAGGAAATATGTCAAGGGAAATACGTGGGTTTACCAAAATAGGGAAACTGTACCATATAAAAATTACAGATACAGGCTTGCCCAAAGGGATCTCATGTATGAGCATCTATCCCCAGTATAGGGGCTGACTGAACAGGCATGCATCACAAGTTCTAAGCCTGGCGTCAGGTTCCTCTGCAGAGTCTGACCGTCAAAAGGTTTTGGAGGAACTCAACCAGGGAACTCTCTGGAAGAGCAGAGAAGCTCTCATATTCTGATCAGAGGGGAATGGTGCTGCAAGCGAGACAAAAAGCCGGCCCTCCCGTCTATTACCTGTTTGTATAAGTGATATGCCGGTATCAAATATTCATGGTGCGATTAACCCTTTCAGTGGTGAGTTTAAAATATTCTAGCTGTCCCCCCAGAGTGAGTTTTTTTAAGGCGACTGTTATTTTAGAATGTTTTCCCTTACTGTTTCCATGGCAACGCGTCATGCTTGTCACGTGACACACCACAGCCACAATAACACTGTATGACAGATGGACCGCTTTTATTTTGTTTTTCCTTTTTTATTTAAAATATTCACAGACTTGCTTACCATGTCATGAACAATCTGATATTTCGATTCACAAATATGTGTAAATGAGTGTGTTTTGTCATTTAAAAACCTTTCTAAATGATCTTGATTGTGATCTGTAACGTGAGATGGGCGCCGCCATGTTTGTTCGCACTGCAGTACAGAGAGTCCTGTCAGTCGGATTTACAGCACGTGAATTCATCAATTTCTCCCGAAATACAAGTAATAAGTGGCCGGTGAACTGGGTGAAGAATAGAGTGAACTCTGATAATATGACAAGCGCAGTGCATGTCTCTCTCTGGCTCAGCGTCAGCTGTGCGAAACCACAGTTTGAATTTGGCAGTTATGTGACATCACCGAACGTTCTAAATCCCATATGTGGGACCGTACTCCCAGGGGCACGGACATAAAAATCCCATATCTGGGACTGTACCGCTCAAAGGGTTAATTGCTAATGATTTTATCATGGCATACGGTATTATCGCGATATTGAAATTTAGTTGCAAAAAAAGTGTTCTCATAATACAGTACAACAGGTTTAATAACTTTTTTCTTATGACAACAGTAACTGAACATTGTGGAAAATAATTATAAAGACCAATAGGTGTCATTTTGCAATAAGATCTCATTAGTTAACCTTAGTTAATGTATTAACATCAATGAGCAATAGCTACATTTGCTACAGAAGAAATTAATCTTTGTTAAAAAAAATACAACTCTTAGTTCAGGTTAGCCCATTAAATAACACAGTTGCAACTTTTGATTTTAACAATGTGTTATTGAATATTATAAATATACCTAAGATTAACGAATGTTTAGAAGAATTTTTCATTGGCAGTTTATGTTAACTAATGCATTAACTAATGTTAACTAATGAAGCCCCAATGTAAAGTGTGACTGAACAATAAAGAATCAAAACATTTTCAAACAATGTCTAGGGCATGTTGTACTCCAGATTAAAATGCAAAAAAAAAAGTTTGAAAATAATTTTGAAATTTTGAAAAAAATTCAAAAATTAGTTATATTTATTCTCACATTCTCCATTAAAAGGCTGATATGATATATGATTTGTTGGAATCGGATGAAAAATAACTGCGCTACACCCGTTTGAAGTCAACAAAGTCAGTTCTGAGAAAAATCAAGTTGAAGTTTTCTGAAGGTTCCAAAGCAAAATCACCTAGCAATTTGCATTGCTTCCTCCACTTCCTTTCTTAATATTACTATAGTCTATTAATAATCACAATACAGCCATTTTTTATTTTATCTTTGTTATTAAAAATTTGAACACTTGCAAAACAACAACAACCGTATAATAAAGAAACAAATAAGCATAGTGCATTACTTTTTTAAATTTTACATCTAAACAAAAGCATTCAAGTAAGAAAAACAAATAATCAAATGTTAAAATCACTTCAGTGTGTTCATTAAAAATATATTGATTATTAAAACTACAAAAACAGTTCAATC